AAACACAACCTTCAACTTTCCACCCATGTAAATCCTTGCTGCTGATCCATCCTTACTAGATACCCCTGAGGGACTTTCCCTCCATGGCTTAAAACTCCTAACCCAGGTCCCAGCCTCCTCCTGATTCTCTTGCTTTCTTTGTAGATTTTAACTGAGCTTTGCCACTATCTCAACTCTGTCACTATCCTTGACCGGAAGTCTCATGAAGCATAGACCAATTACACTGTCTTCCCAGGGTCGTGCTCATAGAAAACGCTTCTTCAACACTGGCTAAACACAAACCCACAGGGAAAAGCACTCCGCTGTTTAGTTGGTTCCTTCCAGAAGTCATCTAAATACCACGTTTCATCTGACAACTTTCATGAGCTCTTTGCTCCAAATGTGGTAAGCACACAAAATATATTTTAAACACTTTGTTATTATTGCAATTTATTTTTAAAAGCAATATGATTTAAAAATTTTTCTTAAAGCAAGGCATGGTTTTCTTCACAAATGACTACTTAAAATGATTGAACAAAATGTCATAAAAACCTGGAACAACCTTAATATGCTAAAAAGAAAAGAAAAGGAAAAACACAACCGCAACTATAAAAGACTATTTGGGTCCAATAAATGTGACTAGGAGCTAATCAATGGGCTCCCATTGAACAAAGATGGGAGCATCTACAAAAATGATGATGGCCAAGGACTGAAGCCACCCAAATTGGTTTAAAGTCCATGAAATCAAGATGTTCAAAATGATGATCTTTAGATTTTCCTATAGAAACAAAAACAAAAAAAGTTTTGAACTTCTCAAATGAATGAAAAAAAATATTCAACCAAAGAATTGGAGAAAGAAATCCATAGACACTTTCCAAATAAGTACAGGCAGAATGCTACAATTAGAACACGCCAAGTTTCTGCTCCTAGTGAAATACTGTGTTTGGTTAACTTCTGAATATTGCACTAGCCCATGGATGGTTGATGGGGATATTTATAATGAGCGAGTCAGGCTGATAGCCACCGTACTTCTAACAAACTTTAATACCATCACTAAGAACAAAACAGTCATCACATCTTTGATTGTCACTCAGGGCACACACCCAGTTAACTAGTTAGTTAGTTAGTTAGTTAGTTAGTTAGTGGGGACTAGTTAGTTCTCCCAAAGGGAATCTGCATCTAGTCAAACTTTCAGAGCTCAACCATCACTTAAAATACAACTGTGATGTTGCAGTCAGTCAGGTGAAAAGTTCTATAGGACAAGTGTTCTAAATCCTTCAACAAATAACCATCCATGTAAAAACTGATTGGAGTGAGGTTTTAGATGTTAAGATGCTCAGGAGCATATAAACCATATTTAATATGCACCATCATTTCACTGAGACTTAAATGAGGGGATTTTTGACAGCGGAGGAAAAATGAGCAGTCAGTGGGAATTAACTGTTGTTAACAGATTTTTTTCTAAATGTATTAGATGTGATAAAATTAGAGACTATTCTTATTTGTTAATGGGTGAGTCTTAAAATTACCTGTGAACTGCTGGTGTTAGAGATAGCCTTTAAAGTACTCCAGGGAAATAAAAGTGGTGTGTGTGTGTGTGTGTGTGTGTGTGTGTGTGTGTGTAAACCTGCATGCATGCAAGTATGACAAAATAATGTAAGTCCAAAGCAGATGTTAGGAAAAGAAAGATTATTATTCTATTGTTGGTGCCTTTGCATTTGTTTGGAAGCAATGATACTTTTGTTTTAGAAATGTATTAGGGTGAGATGTGACATATATATACATACATATATGTGCATACATATGTACAAACACGCACAAACATACACACACAAAAGGTCTATGGAACACTCAAAAAGAATATACTGAAATATATTCCTAAACTTCTATAGTCCAGGTCATCTTTGGTTTCTTCCTGAGTACTCCTAACCTTCTGCCCTTGTGGAGAGAATCATTGTTCTAAATTCTATGTTATTATTATCTATGTTTTTATTTATGCTTTAAAAATTATTTATATGCTTATTCTTAATACTGTTTTTCATTTTGCTTTTGAAGCTCATAAAAATGAAATCATGTTTTATATGTTATCGACTTGCTACTTCTTTTAAAATAGATTTAAAAAATAAGTGTGTGTGTGTGTGTACATGCGTGCATGTATGTGTGTGTGTGTGTGCGCGCGCGCACGCACATGAGTACAGGAATCCATGGAGGCCAGAAGAGGGTGATGCATCTCTTGTAGTTAGAGTTGCAGGTGTTTGGGAGCCAGAACTTGGATTCTAGGAACCAAATTTAGATTCTCTGAAAGAATACGGTGCACTCTTCACCACTGAGCCAACTCTCCAGCCACTTTCCTTGCTTCTAAGCACAGCACTAAACTTGAAATGATGTGGACTGATGCTTTTAATTGTAGTTATTTTCTTTTTGTCACCTTGTGCCTATATACCAAGGATTTTTAAACAATTGCAAGGTTGGTGGACATTTATTTTTAGTGTTGTGTGGATATTCCTTTGCACATCTCCTGGTGTGTAGAAGAGCCTATAATGTGTATGCACCTGCAACTGCGTTATAGGATACATGCAAATAAAGTTGGATAATGGCAAACTACGTTCTGCATTGGCGCATCTTATGCTTCTTCTAATATCCAATGCTCTTGATAATTTCCCTTCTCCCTCCTTCACCAGCTGTTATTATTTTCATAGCTCTTATTTTGTTTTTGCCAGTCTGCCAAAAAGAATAAAATGATATCTTATTGTAATGACCGTATTACTAATTGACTGTTAGTATATTTTCATATGTTGGTTGAACATTTGTTGTTATCCCTTTATGAATACATTTTTTTTTAAAAATCTTTTATTCTAACAAGTTGTTTCTCTTTTTCATATTGATTTTAAGTAGCTCTCTGTATATTATGCATATTAACCTTATGTAGTTATCTGTAAAAGTAATTATTTTGTAGCTAATTTTCTTGCTCCTTCTACAAACCAAGGATCTTAATAATCTTGCACTCTCTTTTCCCTTGTGAATCTTTCCCCACATCAGAACCGAGTAGCTACCCCTCTGTATTGTCTTCTAACAGCTTTGTGATTTTGGTTTTTACAAGTAATCTTCAATGCAACTGGAGTCTCCCTGACTTTGATAATTGTGAGCCAGGGCTTTGGTTTCCTGTTTTCCATGTGGATAGCCAATTGACCCAGAAACATTTATTGAAAAGTTCATTTTTTTCTGCCCACTGTCCTGAAATACTGGCTCGGTCATAAATCAAACATCTATCTAAGTCTGGGTATGCTTTTGGGCTCTTTAAAATGGACTGAATTTCCATCATCCAAGAGGGAAAAAAATAGTAAGTAGAACCATCTAACTTCTGCAATTTCCTATGTCTTGCAAACCAAGACCTACTGAGTTCTTTCTCAACTTAATTCTCCCCCAGCTAGACACTCCTCCAAAAGCATTATTCCCAGTCTTTCTGGGCCTCTAGCACATCAGGTCAGTGAGTTTTTACCTTACAAACTAAAGCGTTCTCATGTTGAAACAATATGAGTAACGTTCACCTCGTTAAACAGGGCAACATCCTAACCTGCAGGTTGGTATTAATCTCCACAGTGACCAGCATGTGACAGAAATGAAGTAAACCCGATTTCTTGTGAAATTTTATAAGGATGGATGAGGATGTACATGAGCTGCCTCCTGACATGTCGGGATTGTGCTCGCATGAACTACATCTCTTTTACTTTTGTCAAAAAAAAAAGTATGACCTAGAAACTTTCCTAAATCATACAAAAGATAAGGGCTCCAGCTCGCTGTTTTATCAATTTCGAAGTTCGTCTTACAAAGTAATCACATAAAGATCCGACTATTGAAGAAAATCATGCATCTCTATTCTGCTGGATTTACTTGTGCTGAGAAGTGACTCCAAATAAAGGGCAAAACAAAGCCACTGAGTTCTGTCCAATAAATGTTTTTCTCTTTGCCTTTTATCAGCTGTGCAAGGACACCAACTTAGGGACAACCCCCCCCATCCTGTTGTACATTTCGTATTGTCTCTTTTTTTAGCTAGAATATAAAAGTCTTCTGCAGGCAACTTCAGGGACCAATTAACTCCATTAAATTCTATCCAGTTATGTAGTGAAGTGAACCGCTGCTCGTCTGGGGCTGTCTAGAGCTGAGACAATTAGGAGACGGAGAGAAGCAGAAAGAGAGATTGATTTTATGTGTCAACGAAGCACGCTGCAACAATATGCCAGCGTGACTTTCAAAATGGCCTTAAAATATTCCAAACTCAGGGAGTTTCCTTGCTCCTGAGTGGGAGTTGACAGACTGTCTGGCAGCCTTAGAAAAGGCAGGGAGAACGTCTATATTGTGTCCTGTAATAACATTCTGCCCCTTTTCGGCATCTTCGCCTTAGGTTGACCCGCCGTTTGTTGTGGTGTGTGTGTGTGTGTGTGTGTGTGTGTGTGTGTGTGTTTGTGTGTGTGTGTGTGTGTGGTCTTCTCTACGCAAAGGGCATGATTTCACATCTGGGAAAACCAAACTGAAGGACACTAACCTTCCCAAGGTCACTTAGAAAATGAGCACTGTGACCTGGTGTGTGGGTGGAACAGAACCCAGGTGTCCTGGCTCCAGCTTTGTGGTCCGGCATTGAAGCATTTTCCTTTGTGGGGGGAAAAAATAACCGGTCGGGGGATATAGGGGAAGTGAGAGGTCAATCTGATTTCCTCTCTCCGCCACCTTACCTCCCTTCTTCCTTATGAAAATTAAAAACTCGGGAAAGCCAGAGGTGCCTGCTAGGCAGTTCTTAAGCAGGGTCAACCAAACCAACTCCCACCCCCGACACAAAGCGATCGCGGCTCCCAAGGATTCTGGGCGTCTTCTTGCGAGCCTGGGAGGTGAGGAGTGGCGGAAAAGTCAGCCCTCACCTCCAGCGGGTCCCGGGCTCGGCGGCGCCCAAGCCCCGCCCCCGACCGCCCTTCCCCCGCGGCCTCGGCAGCCAGCCCCTCTCCCCTCTCGTTGTCGGGCGCACCCACCCCAGATGCCGCCTGGCACCGAGCGCAGCCGCCGCCGCCGCCGTACTTTCCACTTGTATTGATCACTCCTAGCTCGGCTCAGCCTGCTCCCGGAGCGCAGCGCGGCCAGCGCGCCAGCCCTTGGCAGCTCGGGCACAGTCGGGCTCCCAGAGGAAACTCCTTGGGAGCGCCCTGTCCGGGGTGTCCTCTGCGCTCTGCAGTGTCTTTCTGTCTGCCTGGAAGGAGGAGGAGGAGAAGGAGGAGGAGGAGGAAGATCAGAAGGAGGAGGAGGTGGAGGAGGAGGACGTCGTCTGGTCCCGGTTGGGAGGTGGAGCAGCGGCAGCAGGAGCCGCCGAGGCAGCCGCCGCCGCCGCCTCCGGAAAGGGAGAGGCAGGAGAGATCGGGACTTGGAAACCCCAAAGTGTCGGCGACCCTGCACAGCAGGCTTCCTTCCAGCTTCATGGGCAAAGTGTGGAAACAGCAGATGTACCCTCAGTACGCCACCTACTATTACCCCCAGTATCTGCAAGCCAAGGTAAGGAGGCGCGGGGAAGGGTCGCCAAAGGAGGGGACCGCGGAGGCTCGCGCCGGGCCGGGCTGGGGAGGGGCGCGCGGCGACCCCGCCGTCCCCGGGCGCAATTGCTGGGGTTGCTAACTATAGCGCTGGCCTGGGCAGAGCCCGGCTGCGCGCGGGGCGGCGGCTTCCCGGGGAGCAGATCGCGGCGATCGGGTTACAGAGAGTCGCGGGGCGGGGAGGGAGGGGGGCAGCGACTAGACAGGAAAGGACCGCCGGCCCCTTCCTGGCCGGCGAGGAGGGGAGGGTCTCTCGGCCTCGCGGCGCCCCTCGTCCAGCTAGGGCTAGCGGCTGGCCGACGCTTGGGGGCCCGCGGCAGGACCCGCTAGTGGCGTGGCTTTCCGACCTCTCCAGGGCCTCGCCCTGCGGGCGGTAACTCTGGGGTCCCCGGGAGTGGCGCGCGGCACCCCCCACCCCGCCCCGCCCCGCGGGACTCCCCTCCAGCTCCCGCGCGCGCGACGAATGTGGCCGGAGGGAGGGGGCCGGGACCGTCTCCTCCCCGCCTCGGGCCCTGCGCGCCAGCCCCTTGCCTCTGATCTTTGTGCGGTGTGGCACTTCACCTGGTTACTGATTTCCACTTTTACGCTGGTGTTTTGGGTAGAAAAGTGGCCAAAGTTCACTCCACATTCATTGATGTCCCTTTAAATCTTTTCTGTAGCTTTTACGTAGGGAGGGACAATGGGCAGATTTCGATGCGCAGAAAGAAGTGACTTTGTATTTACTTTTCCCCTCTTTTTTTTTTTTTTTAAACTGTCTTATATGTTTACGACAGAGTGATTTTCACTTCTGCTCAAAAGTGGCCTCGGCACACTCTTGGGTAAGGACAGCTGATGACATGTAGCCATAGAAATTATGGCCGGCTTTCCAGGGACCCCGAGTACTTTGTTGATGGGCCTATGCTAATTTTACAACAGTTCGATCCCTCCTCAACTAATTTTAAAAAATTATCTGGGTTCACGAAAAGCGCATTTATCCACCATGGAAACATCTGCGATAGTTAGGGAAAGCAGAAGATGTCGGTGGGTACACTAGCCTCCTTTGGTAGTTAACACCTAGCATGCCCTTCTAGATCACAAAAGAATCAGGTATGGATGCGGCGTTTGAACTTTTTCTGGGGATGGATTGCTTGCAGGCAGATGGGTATTTCTGCCCTGGTACCAACAATCTGTGATTCAACCTTGAAAGCTTTCTTCCTTTCGGTGTGTGTGGTCCATGTTATCCTGTACCTACAGCATACCTTAGTGTTTGTCCATGGAAAAAGGACTTGTCAGCAGAGGCCAGACATTTCCCAGCCCTCGAAGACCTCCTTGCGGCTCCCTCGCCATTCCCTCTTACCTTAGATCGCCAGGGCTGGTTAGGCACTGGCAACTGAGAGCACCACTGTTGGTCTCCATGAGGTTGTCATGTCATTGTTTTAAGAACTTGAGGGAGATGCTTGCCTGGCGTGTGAGTGTGTGTTTGTGTGTGTGCTGCCCGCACCCGTGTGCTATGCCGAAGCTGTTTGAAGAAATTCTGTAACGTAATCAATGTGCTACCTTTTAGATGTGTTATATATTTAATGCGCTTATTTAAATTATGCAGCATTCCGGTGCCTGAAGGACAGCCTATTCAACACTTAACTCCATAAATTATAAATACACACATTCAGGTGAAGAAGAAAAAGAAGAAAAAGCCATGTTTCTATGCAACATTTACCTTAGTAATTTTTATGTACCATTAGTAAGTTAGAAACCAAGTACATAGCATTTAATATAGCTAATGCAATGCCATTTGGCTTTTTTTTTTTCCCTGTAAATAATTGAGGAGAGAGAGAAACGGCAAGAGCCTGCTGGAGTAATTAGGGCTGGATCCCAGGAAGCTCTCGGGCCCATTTTCTGAAAGTGTGCTTCCTGCATAAAGCGTTTAATATTGATTTGTGTTACAGTAAATGACAGTCTCAAAACAGATTTTGCCGTTTCTCCTATGAAATCTGAAATCCTATTACCCCAGCTCCCTTTGTTTCGGGAGGAAGGTGCGTCCTCAGTTGACCTATATAATGCGGTGTTTAAAAAAGTTTGGTAATTAAATCTAAACTCCCTATTGTAAAGGTGTCATAATTAGTTCAGAAAGGAGCATCTCCAAAAATACAAAGGCACCAAATGCAGGTTTTAGATGGGAGAGTCAGAGGCGGGGACATACACCTCCCTTCCTCCTCTCCGCAGCCGTTGGTAAGATGGTGGTGATGAAAGTCAGTAAGAAAAATGGAGACTTAATTTGGTTTCTAGTTTAATAACAAGCATAATTCACCTGAAAAGTTAATAAACTCCGTGTGACCCTGTTGTCTACAACAGGGCTGGTGCTTGTCCATGTGCGTTCTGACCTTCCTGAGAGAGACTACGTCACTCTCCGTAAAGTACACTGATGTGTTTGGCTAGTCCCAGTTGTTGCAAACTTGTTTGGAAGCTGGATCAAAAACTAAGGAGTGGTTTGGTCATTGAAAAAAGAATTTTAACCTGTGAATGTGAAGCCGATGTGGTTTCGTTAGATCAGGAAGGAACAGATGAAGCTGCTGTATTTCATCAGAGGAATAGGTGATTTTAAAAACTACCTTAAGATGAGTTTTATGGTCACACTTTCACAAGTTGCAGGTGACGAATGCTTCTTGTGTTAATCTAAGCACAGACTGTTTTGGCAAATTTGTTTTGGAAGATGCTCCCATGAAACACATCAATTCCGTATTTTGCAATCAAGAAAATAGCACTTGGAGCCAACAACTGCATTGGTGGGCATGATGCTTTGACAGAGAAAATGTGACATCATCTCCAGGGAGCATCAGGTACCTGTGAGGCCGCTGAGAGGAGCAGGCCATGGGTGGACGAGATGTAGTTTCCAGTGTGTCTTAGCCTATAGCCACGTGGAGCTCAAGTACCCAGATTTTACCCCAGGGAGGGTGGTTTTGTTTGTTCTGTCGTTTGGTTTCTCCGTCAGTACTGCCTTATTCTAGCAGGTAGCTCTATCGCCTGGCACATTCATCCTGAAATAGCCGTCCATGGAGTTTTGTAAACCCAAACACACACTGTTCTAAAGACCATTCCAGATGTTAAATGACTTAGGTGATACTCAGGAGAGTTAAATATGTGCTTCAGTTTTCAGCTGTTCAGAAAAAAAGAAAAATTGATTAACATTCTAATTCAAAGATTTATATAAACAAGTTGTCAGCCAGTGGCTATAGGAATTTTACCTCTGTACAGGCTACTACTGCACTTGAGAAACAATATAGCATGCATCAGTGCTGATGTGCGTGTTTGAATGTTACTGGGGATACAATGTGTAATCTTTCCCTTTTGAAGAAGAAACGCAGGTTTTTCTTTATATTGCTTTGTGGATATTTTTACCAGTTGAAGGCAACATGACACATATAATCTTTTCTCATAGACCTTTGGTATATAGTTCTCTAAACTATAGAAGCTTCCATTTTGTGCATGTAGTGGTCTTCTGTACTAAAGAAATATTCTATAAATAAAGAAATGGTTTTTTTATGAAGAAAAACATAGTTTTGTTTTAAGATGATTTTTGTATAAATGGATACCAAAGAATATATCTGAACTCAGCATCAAACTCTGAGAGATAATAAAGTAATTTAGAATTCCACTAATAAAGGCTGTAGGGACAAAACAGTTTTGAACTCACCCTCTTGGACACAAAACCGTTTCACTGGATTTTCAAACAGATATTTATCTGTAATCAACAAATATTGTGCCAAACAGTCTGAGTCTTCTAGAAATTAAGGTCATGATTCTACATGCATAAGTAGCAACTATAACAAAGAATGAAGCCATGGGTACTTTGCATCTTATGATATATATACCTATGTTAGCTGGCTGTGGTGGCGTATGCCTTTGATCCCAGCACTCGGGAAGCAGAGGCAGGCAGATCTCCCTAAGTTCAAGGCCAACCTGATCTACAAAGAGAGTTCCAGGACAGCTAGAACTGTTCCAGAGAAACCCTGTCTCAAAAATAAAATAAAGTAAAATAAAATAAAACTAAAAAGATACACTTACCTTTACCAGGTGAGTAAAAGTTGCTTAAATGTATCAGTTTAATAATGCAACATTAATTTCTCTAGTAGGGTATTTTGAGTGTCTGGACATGGCAGAAAGACTCATGGTTATGGGATTGTTAAGGGTGAAGTTACACATTGTAGCGCCCTTTCTTTCAGGTATCTTTAGAGTTTTGCACAACATAACATACAGAGAGACACAGATTACCTCTCTCTGTTGAGAATGAAACCTTAAGCCATTAGAAGAGGATGGGGGAAGATGTCTGGGAGAGGGAGGAGCACATCCTTGTGCATCACTGCTCTGGATAGACCTCCGGTTCTTTGGCAGTGTACATTTTCAGTGCGAGAGACAAAAGCTTTTGCTAATATGTTGCTGTGTCTGTGTTTTGCCTAATGATGCTTTTGAAACTCTAAAGTTATTCCAGCCAACTTGATGGGTAATAGAATTTAAAGTTTCAAACCTTTTAGGTAAGTGGACGATATCTCTTTTCCCCTTTCTTTTTATGTAAGAAAGACTGTCCAGGGAAGCAAATCA